TTTCTTCAAATATTCTATATCCACTTATCAAAAATAAAATCAAACAGTTGGTAAGTTATTAGTAAATTTTCAGAAAAATATCGTATAAAATTTTATTATTCCTTAAGTTTTATTTAATTCCAGGTCTGTGTTGATAAATTACATAAATTTATCGAATACGCAAAAATATCCTACGAAAATTCTCATATAAATTTCAAAATATTGGATATTGAAAATGCAAACGAATGCTCTTTGTATGCACACACCTTCGACAAAATATTTTCATTTCTCTGTTTTCACTGGGTTTGGAATAAAATGAATGCATTAGTTAACATGAAATCAATGTTGAGGAACAATGGAGAAATTTGTATTCATTATTTGTTAAATGTTCCAAACGTCGAAATATATAAAAAACTGGACCCAGAATGGCAAATTTATACAAAAGTAAATACCTACAAATATTTGGATAATCTTAAGGTCGTATTAAATCAAAAATAGTTACATGAAAATCGAATTACATAACGCACTATAGTAATTCATGAATTTGTTGTACATATATATTTTATGTTTGTACAAATATTAAAATCAATAGCTAGCAATTTTTTGGTTTGAATTATAAAATTTATATACAAATATTTAAATACTTAATAACTATAAAAATAATATTTAACTATTAATCAAATAATGATTCGATAAAAACTGTTATAATTTCAAAAGAATATTATACTCTTACAAAAAAAACTTATTATAAATGTTTCAGAAAACTATGCAAGCTAATATGCCGGTGTATTCATTGGAGGAAACAAAAACTATTTTTGAAAAGGCTGGGTTTCGAGTTGTCAGTATTGAAACGAATAAAAATAAATTTACATTTCAAAATATAGCATCAATAATAAGTAATTATTCAATGATATTTATTAGTGTATACTATTATTTTACTGTTTTTGAAGTTAAAAAATATAAAGCATGTAATTTAATTTTTAATTCATTTGATTCAATTCTAGTAAAAAAATAAAATAGTGTTACCATATAAATTTTTACTTTTGCGGCTATAAATCCAAAAAATATCTACCCAAACATTTTATCAACTCACATTATAAACTATTATATTTTCTGACAAAATTAAACATTATTAAGGTACTTAACTCAAATTTATTTTTCTGAATTCATAATTAGTTGAATGTTGACGCTTTTAATTAGTTTGTATAATTATTTTATTTAAATAATAAATACATTAAATAGTAAAGTATTTTTTATGTTTATATTCGGTCTATTATACCCGACATTGGTAAATATATAATTCGTAACACGTTTGCTACATTGTGAGAGTCGCGTTTACACTTTACTTATAAAGCATAATTAATTGATTGATTGACTTCAGAATTTGTATCGTACATTGAACCAAGGCTAGGCCAGTTAATGATATTTTTAAACTCAGTTAAGTTAAGTTAATTGAGTTCATGTTTAGTTAAGTAAACAATCATGTTAATGCATATGATAATTACATCAATTAAGTAAAAATTAAGTTAAAAAATATATGGCTATGTTTACACAATAGTCTAAAGACGATTGAGTATTTTTCCTGGGACCGGTAGGACCCTTATTAATAGTTAAGACCAAAATAAATATTATGTTCTCATCTAAAAATACTTTGACAATTATATTTTCAAATTTTTTCAAATTCCATGAACTTGTTATCAAATGTGGTACCTATTTTACAAAAATATATTTCTGGTCTTGAAAATTAGAATTAACTTAATTGGGATAAATAAAAAAATAATACGTTAATTTCAAGTTAATTTGTGAGGAAATACGTTAAGTTAATAAGTTAAATTAACTTAATTTTTAACTTAACTTTTAACTTATTAACTCGTTAATGACCAGGTTTTCATTAAACTATGTATTTTTTTATCTTTTACTAAAAATTAAAACAAACTTATTATATGTTATAAATAATTTGTCAAATAAAATTAAAAAACCACAATCTTATACATATAAAATTTATTTTTTCATATAAAACAATACAAATTCATTTAATATTTAATATAAAAATAAATATAATCATTAGTTGATTTATCAGTTTAATTCTATTGACTTAATGAAGTATTTTTTTAATTTATATTATTTACTCGGCATATTATGCATCTGATTTATGAAATTACTTCAAATAAACAATAATTGTATTTATTTTTTTTTCAAATGAGAAGTTTGTGGTGTATTTGTTAATAATCAAGTATCCCTTCCCTCTTGTCCATCCCAAAGGGATTTCCACAACAAAAAATTTGAAATTTACGTAATATGCATATATTTGTAGAGAGATTTCTATAATTTTGAATATGAGGAATCTAGACCTGCACTTATTAAAAATCATTGGATAGAAGACAATTAAAAATGTAAAATAACATTAGAAAACGTATGTGTATTTTAATTAAGGAAATAAAATATCGTTATTTATTATAATGATGAAAGGAATAATAACAATCTATAACAAATGTATACATTAAGTAATATTTATAATACATTTAATCATTAACAGAATTTCACAGAATGGGAGGCACTCAGCAATGTCACCCAACAGATTATTTTAATAAATCTCTTTAAATAAAATATAAATTATTATTAAGAAATCCAGATATTCATTTTGATAATTAAAAAAATAAATTTTATTAATGAATATAAAAAAAATATATGGGAAGTCTATGAAAACGTTGACTTTTGATAGAAGAGGTAGTCACTGTCTAAATAACGATAATATGTGAGGGGATAAAAATGTAAATAATGTGCTGACGTAATAATTGAATACAAGTATTCATATATAAGTTTACATATGCATATACACATATCTATATATATATACTTATATTTAAACCTTACGTTTTATAATACAAGAGAATTAGCATTTCAAATTTAAAGAAAAAATTTGAAAAATATTAAAAAATATCCAGAAAATAATTGTAGCTACTCCAATTAATTTTCTTGTACTATACGTAAATCCTAAGTTATTCTAAATCTATAAATTGATCCTAATTAACATGACAATTTTGAAATATCTAATAAAATAACTTTATACTTTCTAGGTACATTTAAGTGTGCTGATGAAATGTACCAATATATTCCGCCAAAGGATCATGAAAGATATGCTTTACAATTTGAATATTTTCTATCGAAATCGGAAATGGTCGAATTATGTCCAACTACAGGAAAGGCCACTTTCACTTTTAATCTTATTACTGTACATGCAGTTAAGGAAAACATTTAAATGTATTCAAAATGTAATAATTTGAAATGTAGTATTATTCAATGCTCTCTCTCATTGAAAAATTACAATTATGTAGAGTGTAAAAAATTAAAATAATGTAACTGTCATATACTGACAGTTTCGCCATGGAATAATTAATGTGTTAATTATAATGTTTGGTCATG